ACAGGGATTCCAAAGTTGGTCCCACGGTATGACAAATGTCTCAATTCCGGTGGCGAATCTGTTGAAAAATAGCTGGACACTTGCTGTATCTGTTGCAATAAATATTTCCATGAAATTGTGTTTTGTTTCTGTAAACGGCCCCAGGGAAACTTACTTTGTGGACGAGCCTCGTAGTTGCAAAGAACTTGTAATCGCGGACTCTAAGGCTAAGTAAGTTACAAGCAGGTTTATTTGAAAACAAAATAGAAGGAAACAAATTCAGAACTTAAGAGATAAATTGAGAAAATTACACAATGTTAAAAATAAGAATTCTTAAGAAGGGAGTGCTGGGAACGTTCTGAAAATTTTTGGTGAAGTTATTTCTTGACAGACGATAATTTGGAAACATTATTGGAATATTTGGATCTAACTCTATCTAGTAGATAAATTCCCCACTGATACATTACCATGCTCAGAACAGCCCAGGACTGGATCTTATATAAACATTTAATAACATGTTAGATATTTACGATGGAGTGTAAAATAGAGTTTATGAACTCAAGACGTTATCGAAAACTCGTTGAGAAATCAAGCAGAAAGGAAAATTTTCAGTAAATATTTACGACACAGAATATGATAGATGGCGCCAAAGAATTTACGAAAGGAAAACATGTCAGTGCAGTCATACAGCAAAGATATTCCTGTGTCACAGAAAATTTGTTGATGGTTCCGTCACAGTCAACTACAGGCTTCTTTCTGTTCTGAAGAAACCACCCGATGCACGAAACACGACGGCTTTTTCTGAAGGCGAATGCCCAGGGAATATCAGTCAGATAGACAACTTTAAATAGGTCATGAAGTGTGTTGATCACGATAGCTAAAATTTTTTTTAATTCTGACGACAGGTCCATATGAACAGGATTCTTCCATCCTTTTCTCGGACTGGGATCTTGTTCATCTACGTTCTTGGCAGATGATCCAGAAGTGGTTTGCCATTGCCTTCTTCTGTGTGTGAATGGAGTAATTGTTGGGATGCCCCGGAGAAACCGGGGAAGAAGCCCCCGGAGGAAAACTCCGTGTTGCCTAGACCACGGCCTTGCCCAACACAAGTTATAAATTCGGGCACCGCCGGGAATCGAGCCCGAGACCCCAGGATTACAAGGCCAGCGTTCTAACCGCTAGACCAATGAATATAAAGGCCTATGGGCATGAATACAATGGCATGAACTGTATTTAAAGAAGGCGGTCTCAAATGAATAAAATGCACAGATTCTTCCTTTGTATACGTGTATTAACGATTTATTCCACTCCGAATGGAGAAAATCTCTCTCTCTCACTTTTAGAGTGGCTGAATGCATTATTTTTTTATATTTCCAGGGCTCTTTCGTTGACACATGTCCGACTCTTTCCAGTTCCAAGCCTGTTTACACCTCGCGGGAAGAAAACCTTTCACCTACTTCCGCAAATAAAATATTTAGACTATGACGATGAAAAATGTCTCACTTTTAACAAACAAACAAACATTCTCCGGTAATAGGTCTCTATAAGACAATACTGAACTAGTATGAACTCAGAACCGCAGCCAATATCCCGGAAAAAACCTCCCAATCCTCTTCATGGCCTTGTAAATGGTTTCGGCAAGAAATTAAATTTAATATAAGACTCAAAATAATGTACTTTTAATCTGACATTCCACACAATATGAACGTAAAACCAACGACATCCAAATGACCGTCCAATGTTTAGTGATTAAATATGCTATACATTATTAACACGTAGTCAACAATTTTAAGAATAATATTCGTAGATAAAAGAAATTAAGTTCAGGACAGCAATTAATGATCACTGTGATGGTTTCGCTGAAAATTCTTGGTAATGTCTTCCAAACTTTTAACCCCTGTAACACAACAGCAGCAGTCACATAGCCACAATAGATTCCCATAAAATCCGATGTAATAACGTCCTATATTATTTTGTCTCCGTCTGCCGGTCCACCTATGAGGTTTCGCATTTAATTATAGACCTATATGAATGTGTTGTCTCTACCTTCCGGGTGGATCTCCATATTTTACATCTGCGTGTTAACCTCACAGAAGTCTAATCGACT